AAAGAAAACACAAAAAAAAAACAAAAAAAACAGTTGATTATTATAAAGTAAATGGCATGTACTTATATAGCGCCTTTAATCAAGTTAGGAGACTTGACCAAAGCGCTTTACAATACATTCATTCACCCATTCACGCACACACTGATGGTGGCAAGCTACATTGTAGCCACAGCTGCCCTGGGGCTCACTGACAGAAGCAGGGCTGCCGTACACTGGCGCCACCGGGCCCTCTGACCACCATCAGTTTTCGTTGAAACGTGAGCAGGAAGAGGCTCTACGCTCATTCATTTTTAAGAAGGACGTATTCACCGTTTTACCGACAGGCTGTTTGTTCACACTCCCACACCAGCTTCCTGTTATGCTTCCTACTAGAGACTGACACGGGAGTGGATTTTCACTCCTGTCCCGTCCCGATCCCGGGCCAGAGTAGAAATCTAAATCCTGTCCCGTCCCACTCCTGGTGAAATTACTCCCACTCTCATCCCGCTCCCATTCAGAATGACTCCCGCTCCTGCACCCCTGCCATTCTTGTTGGGTTTTTTTGAGCGCGGGTGAAAAACTCAGAGCGGAAGCACTGTTGGTTTTTGGGTCGTGTCGTTTTTTTGACTCGCATTATAGTGTAGGCTTCAAGGAAAAAAACTACAAAATGGCGGCGCCAGTACTGGATTTTTTTTCTTTCTATTTTATTTTATGGCATCGATCCTAGTTTTTTTTTTAGCTACTATTGGTTTGCTCCCGTTAATGTTTAATCCTGTACCGTCCCAATCACGTGATCGTTACTAATACTGACTCCCATCCCACAGGAATCCCACGGGAATCCCGTGAACCGTGGGATTCCCGAAAAAATGTCAGTCTCTACTTCCTACGTCAGTCAGTTGCGCTCATTGGTCAGAGCGTTGGCCAATAGGCACAGACATGGTTTGAAAAACAACGGGTTGTTCTAATCATCAATCTTCCGATGTCTCATTCATCGGAGCCAGACTAAATAGGGGGTTTTCAGTGACGTCACTGGCCAGCTTCCGGTCCGCCATCTTGGGTGGCATATTATCGTATATCAAATATATCATGTCGCGGGTGGATTAGTACGCCAGCACGCTAGAGCCACCAGATCATGGAACATATCTGAGGAAATGTTCCGTGATCGACCATATGGACCCCTATGCCCTCCACGGTGCCTTGTTTAGCACTAATCCAGATGATTGGCCGAATGTAGAGCACGGCGACATAGTTCATTACCTGGTGTTCAGTGAAAACCCTCTGCACACTCTGGAGGAAATGAGAGCGTACAAGGGTCTAGAGGCTCACAACCAGTTTACATCTGGTTGGGTACGAGATGTCGAAGTGATGTACATGAAGGAAATCGCCATCATACGTGGACGGGTGAGTTTTAATAAGATGGTAAAAATGTAAACAATCCGACGCAGCGCTCGCTATCCTGGGTGGCTAATGGCCGGCGGTGCGCGAACAGTTCCAAAGCTACAAGTCCTTGGAGTCTCATGTGCAGTTTACGAATGGATGGGTTCAGGAGCTGCAGCTCATAAAGCCAGCAAACAGTGCTAACCGTTAGTGCTAACAACCACTCAGGCATGTAATGTACTTTTAACTAGCTGCTGTGTGTTTCAAAGGTTTGGTTAGTAACGTTAACTGCCAAACCTCCCTAAACCCTCCGGGTTTCTCACATATTTGAGCCTTTTCCCGCTGGTTGAAATCAAGTTAAGGTGAAATTAATCAAATTAAAACACGGCTGAGAGAGGGAGTCCAGTATGCGGTAGTCATAGGCAGTAGTCTGAGTAGCGGCGGCGGAGACGGTCAACATTGCGGCCACGGAAAGTAATACGTCATGACGCCCAAGCCCTATTATTAATATATTGTTACATGTTTTAAATGCTTGACAGTTAATTACCTGTGACAAAGTGAGCACTGCAGACTCTGGCGTATTCCAGTTTAACACCGTCCAAATCGGACCTGGATATCCGTGTCAGCCATAGGTGACGGCGTTGTTCAGATAGCCGTTTTGTTTTTTCACATTGATTCACGATTACGGCTGGTATGCGATAGAAAGAGCGTTGAGCTCCACCTCCACGGGCCGTGCAACCAACAATCACCTGAAAACCCCCTATTACACATTTAATCTCACATTTAGTCTGGTTTATCAGGCTAATAAACATTCATCTGTCAATCTAATTCTTTCGTTCATATGTCGCAGCTAATATACGCAACGGTTGAAATCAGGATCCTTTCCTTTCCCATTGAGTTGCGTCCCAGTGTTCACGGGGATGGACGTCTGTGTCTTCGGCAGGCGTAGAGCTAACAGAACTGGCAGTGTTGCGAGGCAAGGGCTCAAACATGTACGGCTGGAACCCTTCTACACGTCCATAGAAGCGTAGAAGGTTTGCAGTGAAGACGAACCTCCGTTCAGGCACCATGGACCCGAGGAAGTAAAGATTCCTAAAAAATTAGCCTCGAACGCTACGGTGGAGAATGAAGAAGCCAAGGACAGCAGCAGAACACATCAGTAGATGGTCCTGACCTGAACGGATGGTTAGGAGCACTTTGAGGTTTCCACACTGGAAAAAACGATTTAGGAATAGGTAAAAATAATTTAAATTAAGTGTATTTATCCTTAATTTGAGTAAGTATATGAGATAGTTTCCTAATGGAATATTTATACTCTTAAAATAAGATAATTAGATAATATGCTGATGAAGGTTCTCAGTCATCCAGGTCATAGTCATTCCGTAAAAAAATCAAAAAATATCCACTGGACTTGGTACAAGATTTGAAGACGTTTTTCCACCTCTCCAGGAAGCTTTCTCAATTCAAATGTCTGGATCTGCAGTGAGTTTGAGTCTTATATGGACAACGCCTTGTATCGCTTGGAAACATGCAATGGTAACCGATGAATGGGTCGTTAGTTCCATCGTTAGCCTGTAATATCTGAACCTGTCTATGATTTCTAGGGGTCGGTCGTTAAAGGGGGGGATTGCCATTAAGGGGGGGAATTGTCTCCTGTAATACCTGAAACCTGTCTATGATTGTTAAGGGTTGGTCGTTAAGGAGGTATTGTTCACCGGCTGGAGCGGGTAAGTCCCTCGTTCCTCTGTGATGGGGTGGGGGGTTTGGTGATATCTTGAAGGGATCATGTCTATGATTGAATTGTATGTTTTTGGAAGCTGCTGTTTTTCTCTCTTAAAGCTGCAGTCTGTAACATTGAGGAGAGAGCAGACTTCGACTGAAAATTTGAAGAAAAACAGGTTTCACGCCACTCCCCCACCCTCTCTGCTTCACTCATGCCCCACCTCCAAGCTCCACCCCTCTCACAGCATCTGCGCGGCTACCGCATGCGACCAGAAGGGGGGGGGCGGGATTCAGCATGTGTGAGCTGTGATTGACACTCCATCAGACGCTCCTCTGGCTGTGATTGGTTGTTTTGACTCGTCCCGAATTATTCTTTCCAGAGTGAAATACAGGCAGTAGGCGGTACCAATTGAAGCAGTTTTTTTCACAGGTTACATATCAGATGTACTGCTGTCTGGGCATAGGGACAGTTTTAGCCAATATGACAAAAAAGTGATTTTTAAAAACTTACAGACTTCAGCTTTAACATAGATGGCTTCCTTCACGCCCCTCTCAAACCACCTATTTTCTTTATCCAGAATATGGACATTCTGGTCCTCAAAAGAATGTCCTTTGTCCACAAGGTGTAGGTGTACTGCGGAGTCTTGTCCAGAGGCGGCCTCTCTTCTGTGTTGGGCCATGCGTCTGTGGAGAGGTTGTTTGGTTTCGCCAATGTAAAGGTCAGAGCATTCCTCGCTGCACTGAACAGCATATACCACTCCGCTCATGTTCGGTCTGGGGGTTTTATCTACAATTATCTATAATTAGATAATATACACTTGAAATAAGACGGTGCAGTTGTATTTTCTTATTTTAAATGTAAACTGTCTTGCTCCACTGGCAAAGTGTCTCACTAACCTCCTCTATCCAAAAACAAATGCATTTATTATTAAATAAAAAAATAAAAAAAAGACTCATCTAGATTTAGATTTTTTCCAGTGAAAGATCTGACTTGCGCCACACTGCAAAACAACCTAGAAATAAGTCAACATTTCTTAAAATAAGTGTATTTATCCCTAATTTGAGCAGGTAAATCCAATGATTTGCATACAGAATGAGTATTTCTACTATTAAAATAATAAAACGCTATCGTTTTCTCTTATTTTAAATGTCAAAGTTCTTGTTTAATTTACAGACTTTTACCTCAACTGAAGAACAAATACACTTATTTTAAGAAGAAATGACTAATTTCGATTTGGGTTTT